ATGAAAATTTCTAAAAGATATACTCTTATATATTCCCTTTCTATATATGATATTATAGATCATAGTATGATATTAACACTGTACAAGCAGAGGCTTTGGAGGTATTACGTTCTATAGCATCTGCTCAACAAATAATTAATCGAATTATCACCGAGCTATATTTGTTAACGGAGAACCAAATTGAAATTGACTGATCTAGTCTACTATTGTCTGTAGGTGCAACTGTCGGTGCCGGCCGTGGAGAGGGGTCTACTCAAGACGGTATCAAATGGCACTGCTTGTGCGTGCGAAACTGTACATGTTGAAAGGGAACATCCTGGACGTTGCCGCCTGTCTGCACGTGAGCAAATGCATGTGCTGTGAGCTTTTTGGGTCTGAATGCCAGTTGTGCTGCAGGCTGGGGCTTGCAAAGTCCAAGCGCTTCACGGACTATCCAAACAGCTGCACTACAAAATCACTTGCACACCAGCATTCCATCTTTGACGTCGCTGTCCTTCTCGCCAATCAAATTTGCCTAATCGGCTGTAATGTGTGTATCCTCGTCAACGTCCATGGTAGGATTAACCTCACATGTAGAAAGCACCCTTGAGGCACGATTTAGAGATTGGTCAGACCACTGTCACGACTGGATCTGACATGCGTCGCCCTTTTGCGCTCTCGAAACCGGTGTGACAAGGCCAAGGCACCAAGCGCGCGAGTTCGTTGTTCTTTACTACTAGGTCGGGGCAATCCTTGAGCAGCAGAGCCATGGCTGCACCTCATGGACAAATAGCCCCAAGAAATCACACAGAAGTGCCCACAAGAAAGGTCGCAGACGTTGAAAGACTTTGTAGCTATACTACTATTTGCTTAAGAACCACCCAAAAATAAAAAATAATAATCCCTATATTATCCCTATAAGGAATATATTTGTTATTTTTTGGTGGTTCTTAAGCAAATAGTAGTATACCATGCCAAATCCTGCAAACACATCATACTTCAACCATGCATCTGTGCTGGTGGATTCCCTCTTCTGATGCATCGTAGCCGTACTTTGCGAGAAGTGGGATCTCTACAGCCAAGCACACGTCTCGGCGCGCATGAGCCTCAGTTTAAGATGGCTGCTGGAGTGTGGAAAAAGCACGCTGTCAGACTGCTAGACTGGCCTGCTTCATGATATCGCCTTCGGAGCCGTCGAGGGCATCACGCAGCTTGTAGCGGAAGGCTGGCTGCGTGAACTCTCCGATCAACTTATCCTTGCGACGGGACGGCCGTGCTTTGGACTTTTGGACTTTCGCCTCGCCAGCAGCCAGCATCCCTGAAGCTCAAAGCGGCTCTCAGCCAATCCGTGATAAGCTGGATCAGGTGCGGTCCTGGATTTCCAGTGCTAGGTCATGTGTCAGGACAGGTGGGGCCATGGCGAAGAGGATTTTCTGGCAATCGCGATCCGTCGGGTTCTTGCTGACGTCTGACGTCTCGGGCCCAAAAGGTGCCGCCGGTCTCCGTGACCACAGACATCCACAGACGGACGGCCCCTTGTCTCTTGCACTTCCGAGGTCGTTCCTTCGAGGCAGCTGTCCCTTCTCGCGCAAAGCCGGAGACCGGCTGAGCCACGACGGCCGCCTAGGCACGTCATGACCCACAAGGCTCCTTACAAGTTCGGATGCCATTGTTAAAACTTCCAGGGGGGCGGGCCGGGGCGGTGGCGGGAAGATGACGGCGTGAAAGCATCTGACGCGTGCAGAGGGCCCAGCAGTAGCTACCCGTTATAAGTTATTCGCTTCAAGTCCTCAACTGGGTTCAATTCGAATCCTAGGGCCTCCCAGCTCCAGGCTGCTCCTTTGGCCAGCCTTAAGAGGAAAATTGTCGGGGCTTGTCCTGTACTGCCTGCAAAAGTCATAACAAAGGCAAATTCCCTTCTGCTTGACGTTGAATTAGGGCCAGCCTCGCTGGCCTCACACTGTGCGTTCCAGATGCAGATTACCATTGTTCACCTGCAGCCATGCGCACCAAGCTTGAGCTTCGCACTGCAGGTCTTGCAGAGGTATCGTGATGTATCGTGCCAACCTCAAAACACCACATGCCGGAGATTCTGCTCTGCTGCTGTGTCACTTCGTGCCCACAACCGACTTCTGCCTCTTCTCGACCATGTTCGACTCATCTGGCAGACCAGGTGCTTTACTTGAAGTGCTGGATAGGAGACAGCATTTTGGGTGGGGCAATGTGTGAAACCTTCGCTGCCAGACAGAGTCGGGTGCTAGCCGCAAGTACAATCTCATGCCCTGAGAGGAGTTTTCTTCGTGCTTATACCAATGCAATAATAATGAGTCCAACCTCAAGATGAAGTGCGAAGAGCCTGCTTCGGTGCTTTCTCGAGCGTTGGCGTCGATTTTGTCAATCAGCTGCATAAGGGCATCCAGGATGGTGGCACGCTCCTGGCTTGGAAGAGCAGTGTCGCGAAGAGGTACTCAGCGCCCGTAGCCTTGTCGGTGGTGTAGATGCCCAGGCCTAGTCGGCAGCGTCCCACAAGCAAAGGCATTCATCCAACATGAGCTCACGGGAGCATGCAGATCTGTGGCTAGAGTCGGTTTCACGATGAACGTTGGCTGCTGTTGGGTTGTTGGCTGATGCATGGGATCGTCGAGCCTGGCCCGCCGCCGACATAGACGATGACGAATATGAGAATCTCAACCAATACTCCATAGAGGCATTGAGCCTGGCCGAACAGCGAACCACAAGCAAGCGCGAATCTAGCAGGGCCAGGGCCAGGGCCCATGCAAAGCGACAAATCTTTATCTTCGCCCGGGCACAAGCACGGAGCTGTCACTCTTGCCGTCCAGGAAAGGCGAGAGCGTGATCAACCTGGGCAAGCAAGGCATGTAGGCAGAATGGGTGAGGAACCACCGCCCACGCAGGCTTTCGTTCAAGCTGGCAACTTCGGAACGAGCAAAGCGAGCGTTCGAGAGCCGATCTCATACGGCATGTATGAGCTGCAGCTTTGAAGCAAGGCCAACAGGACGAGCACACCGAACTGGGTCGTGGGGATGATGCGCTGCATGGACGAATACTTCCTGACGCATGCCACCGACTGCAGCACAGCCAGTCACAAAAAATGCGGGCTGACCGGGATCTGGCAGATCGCAGGCTGGTCATGAAGGAAAGCAGGCGCTGCGCACCTTGGCTGAGCAAACATGGACACCCTTGCTGAGCAGGCATTGCCCATTGCCCACGCAGGACTCGCCTGCACCGGGTATGGTCAGAAGGAGTCTCGTCATCTCCTCCACAGGATCCTCGCACAGGCGTCCAGAGGAACCACACTCGCTTGCCCTGGTGGAGATCCTTGTCGGAACGAAGAGCCCGTGCCACAAGCTCTGAGGGGATGAAGCTCCTTGGAGCTGCACAGCTTCGCGGTATCAGCTTCGTCTGCAAGATCTGCAAGGACAACCCTGCCCAGACTTGATCTTTGCAAGGGTCGCATTCCGCCAAGTGCTCGAAGCCAGGTAGAGCTTCATTAGCCTCCTGAGCTCAGGTTCTGCAGCACGTGCTACCCATCATCGGCTGAATTCAGGCCTAGTTGTGCCCTTTGCATCCAGCACGTACGCTGTGAAGAGTCCCGGGTTCTGCAACTACCTTCTTCGCTGCAGCTTGGGGTGCATGCGGTTGTTGGTGCCCGTTCGCCACACAACCACAAACCGTCTATTGCACACAGGCCAGAAGAAATTGGCCGCTGCTCCGTCTTGACTCACTGCACGGCCCAAGACATGATGCGACAGGGAAACCCCTCGAACTGGCATCAAGGCTGAACCGCTAATCGCTTCGATTCTGCGGCAGGAGAAGCCATGGGTGGCTGTGTCGTCGTCGCTTCTTGAGAAGCCGGGCTGGCTTTGCAGTCAAGTCTCACGAAAGTCTGCAGCTCTGGAGGATTCAAAAGCAACGGTGCCTGGAAGGCCCATGGAGCTGAACGGCACTTCTTAATGCCGACTGTCAAGGACTCGCATCGCCTCCTCGAGAAGCTGAGTCAGCACCGAAGACTCTTCGTACATCGCTTCGTAGAACTTCTCCTTGCAATGGACGGCTGATGGCGGCTGCTTGCTTCCTGGTGGAACTTCGGCGTTTGCTGATGATGAGACCACTTTGAAGTAGACTTCTCCACGGCAATTCTGAACTTCCGACATTGTCACAAAACTCTCCAGTGCCCAGAGTTGATACTGTGCAGGCTTCAAAGTCTTCGACGAAGGACTGAGAGGTGTCTGTTTGCAGGACTTTGTGGAAGGCTTCTAAGATTCGAAAAGAACTCTTTGCATGGTCAGTGCTAGGAAGCTAAGCCAGAAAGCGGGAAAGCTTATTGCTTGATGAGCAAAAGATGTGCCGCTGGCTTTGGCGGTCGTTGCTTCTGCTGCAAACATGCGGTGAAGGTCCATGGATGCATTCGTAGCTTCTTTCCCCCTAGTCGCGCCTGCCGCACCAGCAGGAATGACGAGGTGTAGCCCAGCAGAAAACTAAACAGGAGGCCAACGGTGTTCCTGCCAAGGCCACAATGCTCGATCCGGAATGCGTTGATCAGCAGGGCCTACCCTGCCAAATCAGGATAATGACGAGACAACCTGGAGTGAGGGGCCGGCCTGAAGAAGACCTGCATTGCCTCCGGCACAGACCCGCAAAGGCCCATGTAGGCGAAGCACAGCTTCCTCTCAGGAGCTCTGTGTCGTGGAGGTGGGATTCCAATCAGTAGAAACGGTGCTTGTCGAGTTTCACTTGGCAAACGCTCTGAATGCGTGGCCGCCGCGTTTATGAATGCCGAGTTTCTGCTCACCAGTGATTAGCTCTGCGGCAGTCCTCAACCAGGCTGCAATGCAAGATTGTAGATTTCGTGTGCGGCAACTTGAGGAGCGCGGGAAGGGTTGCGATTCGGGGACAGGTGGTCGCACTGAAGTTGAAGACGCTTCAAGTCTGTAACCTTCCGCCAAGTGGCTCCCTGAGCCAGGGGTAGCATGCTGCCGCCAGAGGCCCCGCAGCCAATCCGAAGAGCAGCTGGACAGCAGGGAGCCACTGGACCACACTGCGACTTAGGACTTAGGACCCTCCTCAGTGACTCCTCAGATGGAATCTGCTAATGACAGAGCGAAATGTTATGAACGCAGCTGTTGCAAACTGTTGCAATTTGACATCCTCGTCGATTCGGTGAGTGATTCTGCCTCGACGACCCGCAAACCGCGCTCGCGTGCCGCAATGATGACCTTAGGTGCGCATGCTTGCCGTCCTACAGAATGCGAATGATGCTTGACTAGTTCGAGCTGCGTGAGTCATGGTGTGTGTGTGTGACCATCGGCCAAGTATAGACCTTTTGGATTTATGCTCGTCCAGCAAACTCGTCTACCTCTCACTTCAGGCTAGCAGCATCTTCTCCCCTCCGCCCCCTGCGTTCACGCCTCTCTCGGGCAGAGAGCTCAGCCTCCCGGGAGCACATCCAGTGTTTGCTGCGTTTGCATAACTGACCATGTCTTCGCCTCACGCCGATCTCGATCTGCTTCGCCTGCCGGCCTGGCAACCAGCCGACCTGAATCCCAGAAACACCCAACCTACCGTCGAGGCTCTGGACAGCAAAAGGGCTCGCCGGCACTCCGCGAACCCGTACTGACGGGTTCTTGTCATTTTGTCTCTCTTTCATTCCGTATTTACGGTTTGGGATCCTCGCTAGCGGCCCCATTGGCGCTCAAGCTTACTTTTGTTTACAGTAAGCCCCAGAAAGTTGGAAACCGGGTTAAGGCCAAATAGTGCTGGGATTCCCTCTACATTACTCTTAAGGACAGAGGCTATTGGGTTTCCAACTTTTGGGCTTCTACTGCAGAATTCATCGGCAGAGGGGCCGGGCCGCGTGAGCTGAAGACGCCACCATGCTTGTTAAGTGACTTCCCTGCCAACCTTGACACCAACCGAGACAGGCCCCACGGCTCCGACAAGCAAGGAGCATGACATGGCAGCATGTAGTGTCGATCGTCGTTCTGTCTGTCTTCAAAGGGAGACAGAGACAGGCCGAGAGGGAGGGAGAGACACATGTATACATGTATTTATACATGTGTATGCACATGTATATGAGCTGCTGTGGATAGGGGAGAATCCGCTCCTTTTGCTGCTTTTACCTCCTGAGACAGTTGGTGCCACTGACATTTGCAGAACAACTGTGCAGGGGTCGTTAGACGAATGGCATGAACAAGATGCCATGCCTGCGGCAACCTGCTTGCCGCGAGCTTTGACTGGTCAAACTGGCTTGTTCGACTATGATGAACAACAACCTAGGGCCTTGAAGCGAAGATTCGTGGTTCGTCCTGAATTCGTTTATTTAGGTTCCCGGGGTCAGTGATGAAGTGTTGCACATCCCAATACAGCTAGTTGTTAGCTGGTGCTTGCTCCACACGTAATTGTAAGTTAAACAACTTTTCTGCGATATATGCCAACATGACGAACTATGTAAACAATGTTGGGGCTATATGAAAAGCATTCCAGTCACTAGTGAATCCTCGGTTCGCAGGTTCGAACTGTTTCGGATCTCCAAGCGACTGCACGTGAATATCTAGTAACTCGTACATATGTGCATCACCGGAGTGCCACACGAGCGAAACTTCAGGAAGGAGCCCAAACACTGTGAACCTTTCTTCCAATGCTGACACATGAAATTGCTCTTCGAATACGAAGTAGCAGGCATTATGCTAGTAACTCCTGCGTTCGTGCGTCAAATGCTTATTCGAGGAAATGCTGTCACCGCATGTATGTGAGGCTTTGTATGTCCTCTCGAAGCACATTCGTGCTCGGCGTCCTTCTACATGCTTAAGCCTGCATTGGAAAAAGAGCACACTGGAGGCTGGGTGGTAGGTCCGTTGGAAAGGGAACTGGAGAATCCTTGCAAAATTGTAGCAGAAACTACATACTATATATATATATACACACACACAAACGTGCATTGACATTTTTTCGAAAGGCGAAAAACAAGAGTCAAACCCTTTGTCCAGAAAGATGGCATCCTGTTCTATCTGAACATTGAAACACGCAACGCGTGTCAACTTGCTGTCCAGCTGCTGCCAGCCCGTACCTGGACATGTTCAAAAGGTTGCCGCTATGTGCAGCTGCTTCCAAGACAACAGAAGCGTGCCTGCACGGTAATGAAAGCGCTGCCGGCTGCCGCACAGCGCCAGTGCTGGCTTTGCCTGGAAAGCTCGCTGAGGCGGAGATCCGGAAGTGGGCATCTGATGCAGCAATTCCTTGCTCCTTTAGTCTTTGGGTGGCTCTGCCTCTTGGAACGGCGATTCCACCACTCCCGCTTTGGCGCATGCGCACTTTGGGCAAGCGTCGCGTTATTTCCACTCTTTTGTACCTGTCATCTGTTGGGAAGGTAGAAGTCATTTCAACTTCCAGCACTTCGGCGCTTTGCAACTTGATGAATGGTGCTAGCGCCGCAGTGCCCTGCACGCTATCGAAATCGCTAAGGTCCTAGCATTGCCCCACTTTGAGGATTGAGGCTCCTCGGGGGTCGAAATTCCACCGTTCTTTTGTACTTCGGAAGTTCGAAATGCCCTCGCTACAGACGCATGTTTGGGGACGTACATGGTCGTCACGTGCTCCCGCCACAGTTTTTGCTCGCATCTTGGACTCATGGGCTGCTTTTGGAGCTTGGGGTAGGCGCTCCGGCTGCTTCTTGAATTGTTCCTGGGTATGCCGGGGCTTGGACTGCAAGCTGGTCTTTCTTGGGATCTACACCCAGGTGATTTCTTGTGTTGGTGCACGTATTGCTGTATCTTGCTCTGTGCGCAACCATGTTGCAACTGCTACAAACATCGGATGCGCGTGGGACTCGCGCAGCGAAGACTGCACATTCAGCGCACACTTCAGAGCTGGCCCCCACTCAAGGCCGTTCGTGCCTGCGACTTATGGGTTCAGGCGGTTCAGGGTCCTGGGTCGGACGGCTTAGGCTGGAGCAGACAAGAAGACATTTTCCTATCATTCGGCTCCGAACAAAGGAGGCTTCAGGCTGCGAGGCTCCTGCAGTTTTGGGCATTGGGCTGATAGCAGCCTTACGGCCTGGGGAGCAAGATCCGATTTGACTGGGGATTTGTTCGAAGGCTTCGGAATTGAATCTTTCAGACAGTTTCGGGACCGTGACCGCAGACTAAAACCATAAACTCGAAAGGAACCTTGCCTTTACCCATGGAATCAAGGTAGTGGCAGTGGTAGTGGCAGCGCTGATGGTGGTGGTGGTGGTGGTGGTGGTGGTAAGAGTTGTAGTAGGAGCAGTCGGTCGTAGCAGTCGTCGTCGTAGTAGTAGTAGTAGTAGTGGTAGTAGTATTAATACTAATGGCAGGTAGTTAGGTAGTTAGGTATTTAGGTAGTAGGTAGTAGGCAGTGGGCAGCAGTAGTAGTAGTAGTAGTAGTAGTAGTAGTACTACTACTACTACTACTACTACTACTACTACTGTAGTAGTAGTAACAGTAGTGCTGGCACAGTGTGCCGGCAAAGGGGAACCGTCGGGGCGGGGGCGAGGGCAACATGACTGATCATCTTGGTCATAGCCGGCAGGACCAAGGGGAATCAAGATTACCGTTCATCTTGGTAATCTTGGCGGGGCAATCTTGGTTTTCTTGCACCACTTGCACCCCTTGTATTGCTAGCACCACACAAGCATCAAGATTACAAGAACAACAAGATCATCCCTCACCCCTCCCACCAGGGCTGCACCTCTCCACAAAGATGTGGCCCCCGGGCGTCCCCCTGAAACCACTGATGCTGATACTACTACTACTACTACTACTACTACTGCTACTACTTCTACTGCTACTACTACTGCTACTATCTACTACTACTACTACTACTACTACTACTACTACTACTACTACTACTACTACTACTACTACTACTACTACTACACCTACGACTACGAACAACAATATTGAAAGCGGTACCAAAACTACTGGTGCTTGTCCTACTACTAAGTACTATAGCAACAGCCCAAACCCTTAAAACCGATGCACGTGTAACGCTAGTGCTAATACTACAATAAAAACGAGTACTCGTGCTGATACTATTTCTAATAGTAACTACTAACTTGAAGCCCCTAAACCGATGCGTGCGCCGGGTGCGTGTAACACTAATGCTGATGCTAACTACAATAACCCTAACTACCACCAAACCAATGCGCGCTATGGGCGCACGTAGCACTAGTAGTAACTGCTAACTAACTACTACTAACCCTAAATCCATAAACCGATGCACGTGCCGGGTACTAACACTTTTACTAACACTACTTCTACTACTACTACTACCACTACTAATACTAGCTACTAGATACTAAATACTAATACAAATTTACTCATACCGTACTAATACCTAACACTGACTAAACACCTAATCCGATGCGAGCGACGGGCGCGCGTGACTCCAAACCCTAAACCCATAATAAACCATATGATTCGAATACAAGTACTAATACTAGCTACGAACCCTGAGCCCCTAAACCGATACACGCGCCAGGCGCTCGTAACACCAATACTAATTCGAATACTGCTACTATTGCCAATGCTAACTACTGGCCCTCTATACTCACCCTGAACCCTTAAACCGATGCCCACGCGCCCCGAGCGCGCAGTGCTAAGGAGGAGGGGCCGGGGGGTGGCAATCTA